CTTTTAGTTGAAGCATGAACCTTTTCAAATATGCATCAAAATGACACAAATATTACAGAAAATCTGCTACCAGCAATAGAATAGAATAGAATTACTTTATTGATCCCAAACTGGGAAATTGTGGCGTTACAGCAGCAGGTTATCCAACACACAATATTAGCAAATAAACACAATATAATATTAAATACAACGTAAATGAGCACTACAAATATATAAAACTAAGAATGAGAATATATACAACCAGGATTTAACTAAGCATTACTTCTAGTCTTAAATATGAAAAGATTAAATACAACATTCTTTGCTGGAGGTCGATGTAAATTTCGTTGTTTCTTTATTTTCTGCAGAAATGTTTCATGGACTGAATTTAAACTACAACCACCTGATGAATCAACCGAGTATTCCAGCGCCACAAAATGCTCGTTACAGCGTCCAGAGCCCAAACGTCTGCTGTAGATCACGGGGTTCTCAAAGTTTTCACAGAGAGAATATTTGGCTCTCCAAGGACCGCCATTATGACCAATATTGAAAATAGAGTAGGGCTATTAATCTAAATCTACAGTTTACACAGGAGGCCGTTTTATTCCTGATATTCATATTATTTATTATTGACCGCACACCACGCACTGCGGCCTGGGCTCATTCTCTGTGGCCACTCCAAAAGAATCCAAACTTGAGTCATGTTTTCTGACTGTTTTGCGTCGTTTGTTGCTTGCGGGTGCTGAAGCGTCACTGACACCGCTAACATCGCCTCCTGCACTTCACTGTCGGTGACTTGTCTGAACATGCTCGACAAATCCGCCGCACTTTTCTTTCTAATATTTCCTGTTTGGAGCCCCAAATGCAAAAAAATGTTAAAATATGTTAAGAAAATAAATAATCAGAGACTCCCAGAGTACCACATGAAGGGGTCATGGTAGCACTAGTGAATGAATGCTGTTGATGATACTTTCCAGTGAATTGACTGATTAGTTTACAGATGAACTGTTTGAGCTCTAATCTTGTTTGTTTGGATGTTGTTCTTTGTTTTTTGGGGGGGTTGGAGGACTCCCTGCGTCCCCTTTATGTAATCAGGACTTATGTGTAAATGTCTCGTTTGTTTAAGAGGTGTCAGTCGCTGTGACGACGTGTGACCTGCGCTGCTTTACATGATGTTTGAATTGAATTAAATTCAGTCACATGACCTCCTCCTCCTCCTCCTGCATAGAGAAACTCTTCTTCTCTGGTTTGTTTCCAGGCAGTTTTCCCTCCATTAGTGCACAACTTTTATTGCTCCTCCACATTGTTTTGTTCGCCTCTCTTCATGTCCTCTTTACTTTCTGAGCGGTTAGTGGAGATCCTCACTTCAGGGGGAGAGTGGATGTCAGAGAGGGCGACAATAGTCCTTTTATGTGGTGAGAGTTATCCTCATTGCCTTGTGCTCGCTCCAGGGGGACCATGTGACCGGCTCTCATTCAGGTCATGTCGGCCTGTTCAGCCTTTGACCCTCTTAGGAGAGGGGACGAGTTCCTCAATGTCCCATTCATCCCCCATACAGATGTCTGTGTGCATTAATGTCTGACACAGCAGAGTTATGACGATCCTCCGACAGGCCTTCATTCACTTCTTCAGCTGATACGAGGAGTTAACTCTTTCAGATTCCTCTGAGTCTTTATGACCTACACTGACATGCAGACGAGGCCTGCACCATAACAGAAGAATATCTGACTGTAGGTGATTTACATTGTTCAGTATTACAATAATACTTTGAAATGGGATAAAATAAGTGTCATATTTTATGTCTGTGCTGTTTTACACCAGGATTCTCACGATACTCCAGTTTTTGATACGATTCAAAGTTAATGTCAAACAATATATCCATACAACAGCAACAAAAATCTAAATCCTAGTCTGCCAATATTGGGTCATTGTTTTTAACGACCACTATTTGCATACAAAGTTATGCACACTGTCTTAATTGCAAAAAAAACCAACAGATTTGTAAAAACATGAATATTGCTGATTCAGACCCTGTGCAGGAGTTTGACTGCAACTTTTGACTTCATGACAAAGATGTCGTTCTTTTTTAGAAAGCTTCCGTACTTATCGATGCGACTGATCATTGCAACCGTGGAGATCGTATCGTCTTTTAAAACATGTGGTGTTGAAAAGTTTCAGACATTTTGACATCCTTATTTTACACAGCGTCTGTGTTTGCGACATGTCTAACCTGAATGAAGAGCAAATCCAGAAAGCACTTTTTTATACAAATTAATCTAAAGGGTAGTTAGTGGCTAGCTTTAGCTTCATTTGACTGCATCTGAATGTGGTACTACAAAAGTCCCTCTCTGCAGGGTGCTGGTTTTGCTCAGGGGTCAGGGCTCAGGGGTCAGATCGTGCAGAGGATGGTCCTCTGTTGGATTCCTATACATGACCATTTACCACATGGCATCCCTGTTTCCGACTATCCAGTATCCTGTCCTCATAATAAAACATAAAAAGCCAGATAATCATAATAATGAAGTAGTCCCCTTCTGTCCTGGGAGCACCTTGGGACCCCCCAGGATGAGCTGGGGAGAGGGACGTCTGGGGAAACCTGCTGCCACAAGACCCAGCCCCCGATTAAGCAGAAAATAATGGATGGGAGTTGTCACTCTTTGTATCTCACTGGAAAGCGTCTGTCTAAAAAAAGTGAGAAAGCTAAAATCTGCCTCTTCTAAAACTAAATATTCCCTACAGCTGACCTCGAATTAAACATTTTAAAAACATGTGTATCTGTAGTGCATGGTCACATCTGTGATTCTGTGTTTTTCAGCCACTAGGTGGACACAGATCAGAGGCCTGGCTGTGCACGGCTGCCATATGTGTGTTGAGTAATAAGAGGATAAACTCTGAGCGGACACGAGCTCTTTTGATCTGGGTGATTTTTTGATGTGGAGCTCAGCGTCTGTTGTGTCTTTTGTTGTGGTTTATTCCTGCTGACCTGTGCAAGGTTTTTTTCTATCAGCTCGTTTGATTCATTTATCTTTGGGGGTTTCCCCTCTGAGGTTCCCACACTGGACTCTTCAGTTTAGTGCGTTGTTGTTGTTTTACTTCTTCTTCTTCTTCGATCTTTGAGCACCACGGCTCCGCTCTTAGACGCAGAAATTGAAATTCTGCTGTGAATGAATCTGGGACATTTTGTGATCTGGCCAAACTGGCTAGACTGTTTTTTAGTCAAATCTAAATGACAATAGCTTGAAACAACCGACATCCATGTGTGCGCCCCGGGGGCTTTTTATTTTGACTATAGGAAGTGTGGTGTGGGGGGCAAAGTCGATTGAGGTCAGGCCCTCTTGTCGACTCGATTAGGGTCAAATTGATAAAGAAATCAAATCAGCACATTCAGGTCTGTTTTGCTGCATTCTTTTATTGCTTTATCATATTATCCTCCAACATTCAAGTCATGATTCGGTGTTTTCTTCCTCCTGCTGTTGTTGCCTTGGCACCCGGTCGTTTTTGTCATCAGACTCGGTTTAGTGTGTCTGGTATGTCTGGGGGGGGGGGGGTGATGAGGATGATGTGGCTTCATTAACAAGGAGACAGATGAGTCACGCAGGGTGAGACCTGCAGAGATGCACCAAAAACATGAACCCTGCTGACCGGTTTCGACACGACGCAGTGCTGTGGAAACATGCTGTGCTCATTCACAGAAACATTCTTCTGCTGTCTATGAATGACTTCATTATATTTATATGAAACAGACGCTTGTTGTGCGAAAACATTTTGAGTCATTTTCTGTCATTTTTCAAGCACAATATTCCAGATCATGTCTGGTTCCGGCTTCTCATGAGGGCTCATTTGATGCTGGCCTTTGTTTTATGAGATGGCAGACTGTCATGTTGGGAACACAAAGGATGTTTATCTGCGGGGTGAATGTTTGATCTTTAAGCTGGGGACCATTTTGATAATCGAATTGTTGAGGTAGCGGTTTAGCCAAAAACTCCAAATAATAAATAGTTCATAGAGAGAGAGAGAGAGAGAGAGAGAGAGAGAGTGGGGAATGACATGCGACATGAGTCCCTCTGCACCTTTAAGAAAAAGCTAAAGACCCAGCTCTTTCATGAATACCTACTAACTTAATGATGATGGTCTCCATATTATTGATGATGATGATGGTAATGACGATGGTTTTTGTTTGATAACGACGACTTATAAGATGGTTTCTATACTGATTAGAGCTCTCAAGAACTGCCCTCAATGTTGTGCTTTGCCTCTGGTCACTTCCTGTCAGCACCTGTGTGTCCAATCAGACTCAAAGCTGATCGTTTGCTCTTACTGACATTGTTCCCTTTTTTCTAGATCCTTCCTTGTGTTGTTCTTACTCTCTGATGTACGTCGCTTTGGATAAAAGCGTCTGCTAAGTGAATTGTAGAATTGTAGAAATCCAGGCTGCCCGCCTAGAGGACTACAGCCTCTGTGCGTTGGCCACTCCCACTAACCACTACTCCACTGGCGCCCTGGTAGATCACATATTTGTACACTGGACAACAGCACGAACACTTTTGTCACTATTTCTTGCACTTAATGAACTGATCGATAGTAGCAATTATAAAAAATTAAATGGTTAGTTGGATGAAAATCTGCTTTCCAGCGACTCTTATTTTTCCTCAGCGCGGTCTTACAGGCTCCAGTCTAGAAACTTATTACCGCTGTGATTGAGGAAAGACAATCCTCTTAGCACCAGAAGCCTGTTTTATTTCTAGGCCACTGACTGAAAGTCTCTGTGCACAACTCCTGTCAGTTCACCCCGTGCTGTCGGATATCCTCTCTGTGTGTGTCTCTCTTATACCTTCCTTTGTCCGCTACATGGTGGGCCCCTCCTCCCCTCGCCTCGCTCTTCACCTCTTTATGGCCTGAGCCGGCAGCTGCAGGGTTAATGTTTAGCAGCAGCAGCAGCAGTAGAGAGAGAGAGAGAGAGAGAGAGAGAGAGGGAGGCAGGAGTAGTAGCAGTAGCAGGAGGAGGAGGGGGGGAGGAGGAAGGAGAGTGGCAGTGAGGTGGGGGCTGGTCCACAGCTGTTGTAGTAGGCAGGGTCTATCGGGGTATAGGAAGCCTGCCTCATTCGCCCTGGAACAATGGGAGACATGGCAGCCTCTGCAGACAGCACACACACACACACACACACACACACACACAATGCACATGCCCAAGGACGGGCCTTCTCTTCTAGCCGTGTAGCGTAGAGGAAACCGGCTTCCTCCGTCACACTCGCAGGTTTGACGGCTTGCTTTGAATGGGGAGGGAAATAATCTCCTCCGCAACCGGAAAACAGAAATGTAAGGTTGTGGCCTTTCTGTCTCTCCTGGTTTTTTTCCCTCTCTCTCCTTCCCTTTTGGTGCCTTTTACATTTCACTCTGCTGTGAGGAGACCTCGGATGCGCTGACTGAATGACTGAAAAGGCAGCAGGAGAAAGGTGAGCTGACCTAACGTAGGAATCAAAGGTTGGGGGGGGGGGGGGATTTATAAACCTGCAACTTATTGTCAAATGTATTCAGCTGACGCGGTCTTTTCTGGATCTTTTCCACATGTGTTTGCTTGTTGTTGCGGCGATTCTGTGTCCAAATCAGGCAGATGTTTACTCTAATGAGATTTAAAAGATGTGACAGCGAGGGGACGTGTGTTTTTAGGTGGTCTATTGTGACATGTATGGACTGAAGAGACCCCCAAAATGTGAGTCAGAGGGGGAAGAATTCCTCAATCTTTAAATTCTGATTGTTTTTTTGTAGCTGACATGTGGCTTTCTGGGCTTTTTTCTGCGGTGTTTCCTTTTCTGTGGCAAAATAAAGCTTATTTTTTACCTGTTATTGAAGTCAGTGATGTGACAATTGGGGGGGGGGCTTTGAAGACCCCACAATATGAGACAAGAGGGGTACATATGCAAACCTATAAATACTGATAGATATACAGCTGACGTGGTGATTTCTTGTTTTCTTTTCTGTCACGATTTCTTGTTTTGTGTCAAATTTAAAGACGGTTTTAACCCGTGTGAGATTAGAAGTTGAAGTGATGAGGGAACATGTTTTATGACGTCTACTACGACGAGACGTGATCGTAGACATCCAGAAACGTGAGTCACTAGCTGTAGATTCATAAACCTGTTTTTTACTGAGTCATTTCTACAGCTCACTTTGAGTTTTCTTCACTCCTTCATCGTGTTTCATGTTCTGACGGCAGTTCAGGTAAAGACCGGTTTACCTGCCTGAGATCGATGTAATGGAACAATAGGAGGGGGGGGCACGTGTTATTTAGGGGGTTTTATTGTGACATGAACAGACTTAAAAGACCCTGAAATGTTTGTTTACAGGTCTGGATTTGTAGTTCTGTACGTTCTGATCGATGAAGTGTTTTTTGCTGTGTTTGCGCGTCGTGATCATGATGAAATAAATCAGATTGTTACCGGCTGTATGATATGAGTAAATAATGGGGTAGGAAGGCCTTCTTGAAGAACCCAAAACATAAACACAAAGGGCGGAATTTCTAAATCTTTACACACTGATTCTGTGTCAAAATAAAGCAGATGTTTTTTAGGGAGCGCCGATAGCCTAGTGGTTATGTTGAGCACTCCATGTACAGAGGCTGCAGTCCTTGTTACAGCAACTGTGGGTTCGAATCCTTCATCCCCCCCCCCCACGCTCTCGTCTTAACATTAACATTAATAAACACACAAAGGCCCAAACATGTATAATAATAATAATAATCAAGCTGATTTTGACCTGTGTGATGTACTGTGATAGTAATGGCCCCTGCTTGTGTGTAGTTCCATTTTGAGAAGTATGGGACCCCTGAAACGTGAGCATGTTGTGGATTTATAAATCTTTGAATAGGGATACACTTTTACAGCTGACAAGATCTGTGATTTTCCAACGTCGTCTTCTTGTTTTGATGGCAAATTTGTGTCCAAATAAGAGAAGATTTGGACTTCTTTGAGGTGATGTAAATGTATTGCTGGATCTCGTTTTGGAGGGGGTCCAGATGTAAATGATGTGTGATGATCGAGGGGACTTAGAAGACCCTAAAACATGAGTCAGGGGGGTCTTGATTTATACAGCAGACATTATCTTTTTCGCTTATTTGAGCTTTTAATACGTTGTGCTCGGTTTAAAGGTGACATGAAGAGTCTCTGTTTGCTTCATGTGACGGCTGAATCTGTGCTGACATGAAGCAGATCAGTGCCTGTGTGACGTGTAAGTGCTGAGACAGCGGGGGAACATGTTTAATCGGTCTATTGTAACATTACTAGACGATGGAAAACCCCAAAATGTGAGTCGAATGGTGAATCTGATCTGTACATCTGTAGAGCTTTCTGGGGTTTTCCCGAACTGTTTGGTTGTTGTGATGTCGACTTTGTGACCAAATAAAGTCGATTATTCCGTTTTTTTTTTGGTTTTTTTAATGAAACTGATGTGACTAAGAGGAAATAAGTGTTTTGTGAGATCTAATGGGACATGAAATAACCATGTAAGGACCCCGACATGTGAGTCAGAGGAAGAAGTGGGATTTGTAAATCTGTAAATTGTACAGATGACGTTTTGTTTTCCTGCTCTGACGATGATTCTGTTTTTTTTAGTTTTACTTGATTGAGACAAGAAATGTGACAGTAACGGCAGATAAATGTGTTTTTTGTGCATCACTTGTGACATGAAGGGACTGCAGAGACCCTAAATGGTGATTCAAGGTAGAGAGGTGGAGTTTTATGTGCTTCATTTTAGCCGTGTTTGCTTGTTGGGATGAGGATCGCTTGTCAAAGGAGAATATTTTTCCTGAGATGAGATATAAGCGTTGTGAAGCGCAGCACGGTGAGGTTTAATGGCGACATGAAAAGACTCTAAAAGCAGGTATGATTTGCTTCCTGCGTTTGTTTTTAGGTTTGCTCTGAGGGCTAGCTTACATGCTAGCAGAGCAGCATCCCGGCTGCTTTGTTTTGGTTGCAGCAAACAATGTGTCATAAATCTGCCAAGCGAGCGTGCACACTGCTGCGGGTGGTTGGAGGATTGTGCAGCTTCAAATGTTTGTGGTTAAAACGTGCGATTAAAAACAAAAGCACAGTTTATGGTTGTATCAGAGACGGGGAGGAGGACCCGTGATGCGCTTCCTCCGTGTGTGTGTGTGTGTGTGTGTGTGTGTGTGTGTGTGTGTGTGTGTGGAGGTCGCCTGGCACAGATTTTGAAGAAGCATCCCTGCGTTCACTTTGATTGCTCTCAGACATACATGGCGCACATCCAACCTTTTCAGGGCCCTTTTTTTTTTGGAGAAAGGAGAAAGGAGCTCCCCTCCTCCTCCTCCATCCCCTTCATCCCCTTCATCCCCTCCCCCACCTCTCCCCTCCTCTCTCCTCTCTCTCCGCTCTTCATCCCAAATATTGCTTGTGTACGATTCGTCTCGGTGTGTACAGCCAAACATCAGACAGGAAACAGCACAGAGGGAGCCCGGCAGCCTGATTCTGTCTCCCCCCCCCCTTCTTTGATATCTATCTGCATCTTTATTAATGAAGCAGACAATCACGCTGTATCAGTGCGTCTGCAGAAAAAAAAATCAGACTTTTTGGCCTACATTCTTCTTTTGGTGTCGGAAAAAAGATTCACTCCTCCCCAAAAAAAATCTGGTTCAATTCCACCATGTGAGGATTTAGGTTTTTGTTTTTTTTGTCACATTGTTTACATCTCCCGCCTCCTCCTCACTCTGCCTACACAGCGAGAACTTCAATCTGCGCCTCACCAGATTGGCAGATGGAAAGGGTGGTGTTTGACATATCCTGAGACGGCGTCGCCAATGCCAAATCCCCCCAAGAGTGCGACAGAGGAAAGGGAAGAAGAAAGGCACAAAAGCTTCTTAAATCATGTCAGAGTCGCCGTTTGATTTTTTTTTTTTTTGTGCCCTCATTCCAACAATCTCATCCACTCGACCTCATCTTGCAGAAAAACCTCTGAGAAAAACCTGCTTCACTCGATATTTCATCACTTCCTCAAAACACTTTTCCCTGTCCTTACTTTGCTTCTTTTATTTATTTATTTTTTTTGGTGCCGTGTTGGTGATCTTTGATTCTTGGCACATCGGATCACAGTCCACAATCTGCTCCTTCAGGTGCAACACTAGGTGGACGCAGCTCGACCAGATCACCCGGCCCCCGCTCTATTAAAAACCAGATTGAGAGGGCAGATGCTCAACACCTCTAATCCCATTTCAGTTTGACAAGATCTAAAAGGATCAGGCCCCGTGCCCCCTGCAGGACCGACGCTCTTGGAAATGAAGAGTTAACACTGCAGCTAAACAGATCTACAGCGAGCAGACAGACTGCAGCGTTCCCGTTTTGGATCTTTAAATGAAACCTCCGGTAGAAAGTGAACATGATTAACTGGGCGCTCTGTTAATGGGGGGGAAACCCGCATCGGACTGCAAAGCTTCCATGTGTGTGTGTAAAGTCCTGCGTTATCAGAAAGACATTAAAAAGGGGGAGTTCTTGAACGCTGTGTCTGCTGAATTATTCATCCATCTTTCTTTCATTACACTTTACAACAATGACTCAGAGATGAAAGGAAAGACGAGATAGAGGAGTGGGGGTGGGGGGGGGCTTGTGGTCTTGGCATGGGTGGCGTCTGCCGAGCGCTGGTATCTCCCGAGGGCAGTGCAGCGTCTTCCTTCTCCTCCCTGGTTTCCTGTTCACTCGCACATTCGAGCAAAAGCTGCAGCCTTCGCTCCCGCTGCAGCAGCAGAACATCACAGAGGTGACATTGGTTGAAAAAAAACAAAAAAAAACCCACCCAAAAACCAAAACCAAGCGGCTCCTAAACCTCCCACAGTCCAACTTCTTGAAATCTTCTTTTCTGTCCTATGATTGGAAACACAAATAGGATTTGGCCCCGAGATGTGAGGAGGTTTGTTAGCTGAGTGGAGGGAGAAGAAGGAGGAGGAGGAGGAGGAGGAGGAGGAGGCTGCTGCAGGAGTTTTATTTATTGAGATGTGTCCCTGTGTGTTTGTCTCTCCCTCAGCTCCCTGGTGCTGTTGTTGGGAGACAGAGGTGCCTGACAGGAGACGGACTCCTCTTCAAGGATCATAAGAGAGCTGAAACCACAGGTCAGTCTTTTCATTATGTCACATGTTTGTGTCTGTGCCTTAAAGTAATAATTATATTAACCAGAATATGAAAAGTTTGTAAAATAAGGTGTTAATGCCATTTAGAATAATTTGAATACTCGAGTACTCGCTAATTATACATATTTTTACCGTAAATAAAGATCTGACTCAGACCCCCGGCAGCCTGCTATGATGTCTGCGGTCTTTAAATCCCAGTTCTTCTGAATGAAGAGACAAGTGATGTTAACCCTCCACGAGTCTGTAGTAACAGACACTTAGAAGTTCTGCACAATCTTGTAGCTGTTGTTAGCCGTGATGTTCCCCTTCCACAAATCTCCAGTCGCCTCTTTGGTCATTAGCGGGTTAATCTTCTCTGGTGTCATCACAACGACGTGCGCTAACGGGGTTAGTAAACGATGTGACCTGAGACCTCCTGTTGTCTCACTCCGCTGGGTTCCTTCATGTGCTCTAAGCTCATGTGGTTAAACATCGGGCATTTCTGTGATACGTAGATTTAACGCCCACATTTTAGTTTTTTGGGGGGATTTATTTTTGTGCTTGTATTGGAGAGATAGGACGGTGGATAGAGTTGAAAACCAGGGAGAGAGAGAGAGCGGGAAATAAGCCACAGGTCGGATTTGAACCTGGGCCGCCCGCTTGGAGGACCGTAGCCTCTGTACGCACACTAACCACTGCACCACCAACGCTCCCACATTATCGTCCTTATCGAATCGATAAGCGAAGGGTCACAAGTCAACTGATTATTTAGTATATTATATTTATATCTTTAGTAACTCCAACGTTGATGTTAGGGTGGTTAACTAACCTTTGAACTCAGAGCTGTGAGGAGTCATGAGCAGTTATCATGACCCAAAGAATTGAAATCGATCAACACTGATCAATATCATCACACGTCACATATTTAGGGCGGCAGTAGCTCAGTCCGTAGCTCTCAGAGCTCAGAGCTGTGAGGAGTCCCACCCGAGTTAACCACATTCCAATTACGAGTTGGTAACAAGTCGGACAAGATACACGAGCGCGCCAGCGGTTCAGATCACCCGCCACCCGCCATATACAGGTGTTTTTTTTGTTTTTTTTTACATTGACAGGTCTGAATTTGCTCAACCTACAAATCTGCATTTTCTTTTGATGCCCCAAACTCGTGGAACGCCCTCCAGCAAACTCTAAGGATCGGAGTTCTTCCCTCTCTTCCAGAGTTTAGGAATTCGATTTAGTAACTGTTTTAAATGATCTCAGAGGTTTTTGTCACAGATTCTGAGTGTTTGATGTTTTTTTTGCTTGTAATCTCGACGGCGTTGAAAATGAGGGGAAACCTCAGTGTCTGATGAGTCACAGTGGCGGGTAAAAAAACTGACTTCATCAGCCGAGTCGGTCAGTCCTAAATGACGCCCACATGGCTCCGTCCCTCCTCATGTCAGGGTGTACGCTGATAGGCTACGAGACGGAGAACCTACACAGTGATAGTCTATGTGCTCAAAGTGCTTTAGGGTCTCTTCAGTCGAGCACCACATGGATTAGCATCTCCAAATAAAGCGGCAGATTTAAAAAAAACGAGTGACTGGTAGATTTTTGAATCCCCCACTCACAGTGGCAGGTAGGCGAAAAACGTTAATTTCCAACCCTGCCTGGCGATAACAACACACTGTGTGATAGGATACTATCGGTGTGATTGATTTGATTACACAAAAAGAGGACTACGTTGCTAGTAGTTAGCTAAAAAGTTAGTGTTGATACATAGCAGCCATGTTGGATTTAACTCCTGATGACGGATCAGAGCGACTTCCTTCATTAAAGTTGTTCTTGTGATTGTTGTTCTTCCATTGAAGTCATCCATGTTTCTTTCTGTTTTTGGGTTTGGGACTGAGGATTAAGTCCAGAAGAGCTGATGTTCGTCTCACATCTGGATGGCACCTTCTTGTTTGTTTGTGCTTTGTTTATTGTTTGAGCTTTTTCTTCTCTTCGTGCTGTCACACCCATGAAAAAGTGAATCTGACCTTTTCCAGAAGTCGCTGCTGGGTTAATTTGTTTAGAAGGACACCATGACACCATATTTACAGTAGATGACACGTTGAGTTTCCCCCCCACTGGTGTCCTGTTGCACTTTTTATTTGTTTGTGATGAATGCTCAGCAGTGTCCCTCCTCAGCTCACATTCTTCATGTTCAGGTATCCGTTTGAGTCGCTTCAGGCCCGAACAAAAAAGCTCCACATGCTCTGCTGGCTCCGAGGCCAACACATGATCCTCTGTGTTTTGTTCTCTGATTTGAAGGGCTGAGCCTCGCTGCACTTTGTTTACACTTGGCAATGTCGCGTTTAGTGGCTGTGTGTGTTTCTAAGACGGCTGGATTTAGCCAAACAAAACAAGAAAATCAGAGCTGGCTTTGACCTCTGCTCCTATCTGTTAGCTTCTCCTCTGGTGTTTCTCTTTATGTTATCACTTACAGTCTCCTGTCTCCTACTCACTGAGCCATAAATCTTACTTTAGAGTCACACGCACAAAACAAAGACTCCTTTTGTTATGAGGATTCAAATATACTGCAGAACAAACATGATAGTTACATTATACACTATTTTTCAATAGTGAACATTTCAGCTTGTGATCAAAAACAGTCTCAGTGAAAAACATGTTTTTAAGAGGGATCAGAGATTATTTAGACATCACTGTAACTACTTGGTCAATATTTTTATTGCTTTTTTCCTGAGTCGGATATGGATCTGATCCCAGGTTTAATTGGTCCTTCCTTGGCCTGAGCTATACGTTTCCACCACGTTTAAAAACAGGACGTTAAGTTTTCCATAATCCTGCAGACAAACAGAGAAAATGCACAACAACCATAAACTTTCTTGGCTCAACTTCAAATAGTATAATGAAAAAAAAGCCTTTTCAGTGCATGTTTTTGTGTTAAGATGGCGTGTTTCTAGCCTGTGGTTTCAGTACTTTCTACCTCCATGGAGACCCCGCCCTCCACCACTCAGCGCTGCCGTGTTCAGAGCGGCTCCAGTATGCCTCCCTGCGTGTCTCTGGGGGGTTTTTCTCTGTGGCGCTCGAGCGGCTGAAAGTCTGCCAGCCCGAGCTCCGTGGAAGGAGCTCCCTGGCACTGCAGGCCCGCTGAGACACACTGACCCTGTCCTCTGCCCCCTCAATGAACCTCTGTGTGCTCAGTTAAAGGCTGCAAAACCACCAACAAGACGACAATGATGCAGCTTACAAAAGAGCCAGCAGCCCCCCCCGTGTCTGTCTCTTCCCCTCTCTCTGTACATTCAAACTTAAAGACACAATAAGTTAATCTGTAAAAGCAGAGCTCACTGTGAAGTCACTTTGACCTTCTGTAAGTCAGACATTAAAAAAAAGACATTTAGACTAGAAAAACAAGACGATATTAGAAAAACATATTTAGATTAGAGCTCCAAACATTTGTCTGATTTGACGTTTTTCTTTGTTCCTTTCTTTTTTATTTGACAGAAAAATAATCGCTTTTATAATTAAACTTTTCTCCCCCATGTTCGGGGACAGTCATCAGACCCGACCCTGCTGATGATCTTAGAGCTTTGTTCACATCGCGATAGAGCAGCGGATCAAAAGTCAGAAAGGATGATCATCAATAAATCTTTAAAGTTTACATTTTCACAGCGAGGCCTCCGATCACTCTCTGGTTGAAGCTTCTTCACCGGATTGGCTGCTGTGTCACGTTAGGTCATAGTTTTCTGAATATGTTTCTTTTTCACAAAACAAGACCCTAGTGTTGTAGTCAAGACCACATTAACCAAGACCAAGACCAGAGTGCTCCAAGAACGAGTCAAGACCAAGACTAGAGTGCTCTGAGACCAAGACAAGACCAAGACCAGAGTGCTCCAAGAACGAGTCAAGACCAAGACTAGAGTGCTCTGAGACCAAGACAAGACCAAGACCCGAGTGCTCCAAGAACGAGTCAAGACCAAGACTAGAGTGCTCTGAGACCAAGACAAGACCAAGACCAGAGTGCTCCAAGAACGAGTCAAGACCAAGACTAGAGTGCTCTGAGACCAAGACAAGACCAAGACCAGAGTGCTCCCAGACCAAGACAAGACCAAGACCAGAGTGCTCCCAGACCAAGACAAGACCAAGACCAGAGTGCTCCAAGAACGAGTCAAGACCAAGACTAGAGTGCTCTGAGACCAAGACAAGACCAAGACTAGAGTGCTCCCAGACCAAGACAAGACCAAGACCAGAGTGCTCCCAGACCAAGACAAGACCAAGACCAGAGTGCTCCCAGACCAAGACAAGACCAAGACCAGAGTGCTCCAAGAACGAGTCAAGACCAAGACTAGAGTGCTCTGAGACCAAGACAAGACCAAGACCAGAGTGCTCCAAGAACGAGTCAAGACCAAGACTAGAGTGCTCTGAGACCAAGACAAGACCAAGACCAGAGTGCTCCAAGAGACAAGACCGAGACATATAGGGATCGAGACCGAGTCAAGACCAAGACCAGAGTGCTCCGAGACCAAGACAAGACCAAGACCAGAGTGCTCCGAGACCGAGTCAAGACCAAGACCAGAGTGCTCTGAGACCAAGACAAGACCAAGACTAGAGTGCTCCAAGACAAGACCAAGACCAAGACCAGAGTGCTCCGAGACCAAGACAAGACCAAGACCAGAGTGCTCCGAGACCGAGTCAAGACCAAGACCAGAGTGCTCTGAGACCAAGACAAGACCAAGACCAGAGTGCTCCAAGACCAAGACAAGACCAAGACCAGATTGCTCCGAGACCAAGACAAGACCAAGACCAGAGTTCTCCAAGAGACAAGACCGAGACATATAGGGATCGAGACCGAGTCAAGACCAAGGCCAAGGCAGGGCGAGACCGAGACCATACATATCTCAGAAAAATCATCATCTTGTCACTCTCTTAAATCGTAACACCGGGAAGTTTGCGGCCGTAACCGTGGGATACAAAGCAATGAAGTAGAAGGAGTTTTCCTTCTGATCTCAGTAATGATGTGGACATACAGTAGTGATGGTCTTGACCGGTCTTTATTTAAAATGTGGAGTCTGCCCAGTCTGAGACCGAGACGAGACCGAGACCTTCAAAAAAGAGGTCTCAATACTCCGTGACCCTAAAAACTAAAATCTCCTTCCGGGAGATCCTGGATCAATGACTTAAAAATCTTTATTTTTGCATCTGCAGCGCTGTGGCCATAAACGTCTCAGCGTTTCATAAACCAACAGCAGCAGTATTTAAAAATCAATCGTCTGACACTCAGGAAGGCGCCGCAGACATCTGAAGGAGTGTTTGGTGATAAATAATGGACCTCTTCATGCCCCGTCATCAGTTGATCAGCTCTTGTTTTAGACGTGAACTCCTGTTGGATCCTGGATGAACGTTTTATTTTACTGCTGGCATTTTCAGCAGGCAGCTTGTGACATTAACTCTGCACATCAAAAGAAACCGCAGCAGCAGCAGCAGCAGCAGCAGCAGCAGCGGTGGCAGAACCACATTCTCCTGTTATATTTAGCCTCACTTTTTGTTGTCTTTTAGTCCACGCTGTAATTTCCATCAGAGTGCAAACGCAGAAGGGACGTGTGCCTGTTCCTCTGCGCCGCTGCCCCGGAGCTTTAATGTGCATTAGAGAGGAGTAGAGGAGCTGGTATTTATAACCACTCCCGTATCCAAGGTCAAATGGATGGCTAATATCTGCTTCCTGCATTGATCAGGCCTCCATTATACGTGTACGTCTGTGTGCGTTCAGTCAATCGCAGCTCAATAAGCTCCTCCACATTTGGGATTCAGCAGCGTGCGGCGCTCGATAATCTTCCTGTAAACGCTTCACAAACGGCTCCGGTTACACAAAGCCCGGCCCAGCTCTCTGCTGAATTCTTTTGAAACTGTTGGAAGCTTTCAAACGCTGATCAGAGAGTGTCTTTACTTAGTGTACGTGTACAGATATAAACTGTACATTAGAGCTTGATAATTCATCACTATTCACTGTTAGCGTGACTTTAAGCTTTTGCTATAAACACGCTAACACTCAGTTTATCGCATTATAGAAATACAAACTATTGAATGTGAACAAGAGTCACTTTCACACTCTTCATGTACATCTGATCCTTTGAATGGAGGCCTGAGTGTAATGGATGGAGCTCGTTAAGCTAGCTGTCAGGTGAATTGGTGCCAATTAAAAACCATGAGTTAGAGCTAATGTAGGGTGTGTATGTGTTTAGTAGGCCTGGATAAAAATATCGATTCGACAATGCCATGATTTTTTTCCCCCAATTCAATTTCGATTCAGGGAAATCATAGGATCGATTATTTCCGGTGTAATGACACCCCGCTCCAGTGGGGGCGCAGTGGGTGCTGCCATACTTCCGCATACTGTAATTTAAGGTTTTATTCTTTGTTTATTAAAGAATAATGCAACGATAAAACACATTTTTTGAGTCAGTTTAAACCAATACAAACAATTCACAGATAATTATTTAACTAATATCAGAAGGTACTGTGATTAATTATCTGGTTATTTCTGTCATCTATGCGTTTTATTAAATCCATATCGAATCGAATCGAATCATGACCCAAAGAATTGAAATCGAATTGATTTGTGAGGTTGTGGACAATCTCCAACCTAGTTTTTTTTGTTTTGCTCCTCATATCGTCATGGCAACACTGATCAATATCATCACATTACACATATTTAGGGCGGCAGTAGCGGCAGTCTGTAGAGACTTTGGGTTGGGAAGCAGCTCAAAATCTGGAAGTTGGTCTGGTAGCTGGAGAGGTGCCGGGGCGCTTCCCGAGTACCGCTGAGGTGCCGTTGAGCAAGGCATCGAACCCACCCAACAGCTCTGGCTCGCTCCGTGAGTATCAGTGTACAGCAGCACCACTCTGACATCTCGGCGAGCAACATGCTGTGACGCCAGGTGTCGATACTCTGAACACAAATTTACGCGACTGTTTTGTCCCCGAGGAGAACGTTTGAACTGTTGTTTGTTTGTGTGCGTCACCTGTTCTCGTCAGGACACCTGTAAAACTGTGCCAGTCCCTGATTGGCCAGCAGCCACAGAATCGGCCTCGTCTCATCCGCTCTAATGACTCCTTAAGATGTGACAGTTGGATCTGGGTCCACTTCAACACACACATACTTACACACACACACACACACACACACACACACACACACACACACACACACACACACACACCTGGAGCCTTGCCTACTAGACTGGTTGTGGGCCATTTGTCCTGCAGGGTGGCGTGCTCACAGACTCGGGCAGCTTGTGCGCTCTGCGTGGCGCTGCTGTTTGATCTGTGGATCCGTTCGTGTTTAAACCTGAGAGAATATGGACACAAAGGCTTATCTCCTGATGCAGTCCACATATCTGAAACAATGCAGGGTGAACGGATTGGACTGTTTACCCCGTAAACCTCCATATACAGTAGGTGATGTGTAGTGTGTGTATGTGTGTGTGTGTGTGTGTGTGTGTGTGTGTGTGTGTGTTGTGGAGGTCAGATAAACAGACTATAATAATGTTAACGTCATCAGTGTTTGTTTTAGTCTTTCTGTGAGAAGCAGACGGGCGGAGTTCAGGCAGACTGATCGTTCTGATCGTTAATTAAGTCGTTCTTGATGTAAATACGTTAAAGGTTTAAAGGTTTCCTTCTAAAGCGAGAGGGTTTGCTTCTTTTGAAAACTGCTAATGAATTAGATTCAGATTTTTTAGAGTTAGGAGGATTAGGGTCAGGAGGACACAAGACTTTAAAAAATGTGACTGTGGACTCTGGGAAAAAGAAGATTTATCTGACAAATGTTTGGCTAAATGAGGAGTAAATTCACAAGTTTAAAATGTTGCTTTAGCTTGACCTTTAGATGTTCTTGTCTTAATGTTTTGGTTCACAAGCTGAGGATTTATTTTGGGTTCTAACTCTATTTTAAGTTCCTGTTAATGACCCTTTTTTGGATTAGTGGAGTTTAAAATCAAACTACATGGATACAAAGAAATAAAATAAGAAGTTGGAGAACAGGATACAAGGCGTCCTGAGAGTCTTCAGTCTCTCTCTCATTTAAACAAACAGAAACAAACCACTCACAGAAACAGTTGGTGTAATAATCCCTCTGAACGCGGCGGTGCTCTTACTGTGCAGCCGACCTGGACGTGACATCATCTACATAACACGAGCTCCGAGAGTTAATTCAAATGTTGATCCATTTACCTGAGTCGCCTTCAGGTGTTACTGTCTGTCCGAAAGCAAAGAGCTTTACGAGCTGCGCATGAGTTACCTGTGCCCTGAGTTTAACCTCGCAGGCAACACAACGGGGGAACTACTGTGTTTGATTAAAGGAGAAGGTTGTGGATAAAAAAACGTCTTTAACATTTTTAAACATGTTTGATAGACAGAGGCTCAGTGAGTGTAAAGATTTAATTGAAAAACTGTATTATTTTGAATACAAATTTGAGGTGCATTTATATGGAACTGAAAACAATTCTGAACGTACGCTGTGATTTTCAAGGTCACATATGATCCTCCTTTTCATCCAGTTTAAATAAGTCTCAGAGCTCCTCAAAACATGTCTGTGAAGTTTCTTGTTCTAAATCCACTCTGATCCTGTATGTGATCATGTCTATAAACCCCTCTATTTCAGCCCTGCTCAGAACAGGCTGTTTCTGTGTCTGTACCTTTAAATATGTAAATGAGCTGTATATGACCACGCCCCCTCTCTTGAAGGGCTTGGGTGGTCTCTGGCTTTCTCGCTCCATGTCCTATTGTTTACGGTGAGACTCAGACTCAGAGGGCAGAACAAACACCTAGCTCTGGGAGTGTCACCCACCTGGGGGAGGGGCTACTGCCCTTTGTGATGTCACGAAGGGAAAATCTCTCAACATTAACACTGATTTACTGAAGAGGTTTAGCAGTTAAACTCTGCCGTGTCTCCTCCCGTGTTTCAGATGAGAACAATGTCTGATGAGACAGAACAGAGAATGTGTGAGGAGGACTTCGGTACGGACGAGGAGGGCGAGGAGGCAGACGTGGAGTCGTACCTGGAGGACAACAGCAGCGAGCTCGTGGACCGACTGCGAGAGCTGGAGGTGAGTGAACGAACAAACGCTCATTCAGAACGAGGAAAAAGTTAGGAAATAAGATGATTTGTTTTATTTTAGACACGTAATCCTTCCATTAGGGTCTAAATCCTCTCCTGTATAAAAGCCAGCAGACATAAGACGTGGTATTAATGAAATACTCACATTCTTCCAGTAAATACTCATCCAGCACACACTTCCCTAAAGGTGACAACAACCTGTTTGAGAAGTTTAAAAAAGTCATAGAAATAAATATTGTGGTTTTATATGGTATGTATTTGACTGTCTAAAACGTGCACTTGTGACTTTTATGACTAGTGGTGAATATTTAAAGGTGATTTTTCACACTTAAATGTAGCAGAAATCAAGTATATCCTCTGAAAATAACTGCTTTCCGAGTCCTATCTTCACTTTGTTTACATCGCCCGGACGGCCGCCTGACTCCTCCCCTCGTGTATAAAAGTTGTTTAATTGAGGGACTAGAGAAAAGAAGAATAACATACTGTACTCACTGCTTAACTGTGTTTCTAGATCACGCTCATTTCAGGTAAATTTACATGCAGTGTGAAGATATGATAATAAAGATCGCTAGCATTAGCATGCTAACACAACAATGCACCGCAAGTTGTTTTGGTTTCATGCTGGTGCTCAAGGGCGACATCTACTGGATCAAATAATATTGCATATTCTGCCTTTAACAGTGACCTGGTTGTATTCTTGTTGACTCAGCACTTTATTCCGTCGGTAATGGAATCTCATTCAGTGCCTCTTACCTTTTTTTACCTCGTTAGCTTTCTTCATGGATTTTGTCTTTTGTCTTTTTTAATACCTTGCTCCAAAACCAATCAGCCTTCAGGGACAAACCAAGTTAAAGAACTCTGTTTTTTCTTATTGACTGTGAGCTGTCTTTTAAAGCACAGATCGCCAAATTGGCCTCTTAACTCGAGGTGAAGTTAAGACTTTTATTATGGAGAATAAATCCTGCTTTTCCCTCAGAGCGAGGAAACTTCTTGTTTCATCAACTTTTCTTTCTTTGTTGGATTATGGAGATGTGCTGTATCTGGGCGCCTCGGCCAAATGTTTACAGTCATGTTTGTTGAGATTTGTTACTCATCACTGTGACCTGTAAAAGGCCGTCCTTGAAGGTGCACAGGTGTATACACTGACTGAGTCTCATATTTAAAGCTCTTCTTGGTTTAGTTCCTTCTTATTTATGTTCAAACCTCCAAAGAACCAGAAGCCACTACGCCTTGGGTTCCTGTGATGTTTTTAAACTCTCTGTTCCTCATGTTCGCAATGAGCTCAGGAAAAGAGCGTTTAATTCTGCTGCCAGTATGACTGACCACATGTAGTTCTGTGTTTTGGTTACTCTACAGTTTCCACCTGATGTCGCCCCTTTATTCTGATTACGCTGTTCGGTTTGCTCTCTAGCTGACGGATTGTTTCTGGAGCGAGGCCGTTCACACATAAAAAAATCAGAATTAAAAAAGAAAAGTTTGTGCTGCAGGGAAAATCTTTAAAACTGGAGGATCTCATTTCACTTGAAGCCTTTCACTCGATCTTAAAAGATACAAGAATGCGAGACCATTTGGACAGGTGTTTTTATAATGTCTTAAAAATCTTTGTTTTCTTAGTTCATAGTTATGACATTAATAACGTTCATGTTGTTTCTTCACAGGCAGAAAACTCGGCTCTAATGTTGGCAAATGAGAGTCAGAGAGAAGCTTATGAGAGATGTTTGGATGAGGTGAGATCACGTTGTAGAAAACACGTACATTTCTTAACTTCTCAGCAAAGTACTCTGTGTTAAATTGAACTCCTCTTGTGTTATTAGGTGGCCAACCACGTGGTCCAGGCTCTGCTGAATCAGAAGGTAACGTGTAGCTAAAGTCTGCAGCTGTGTTTGGATCAGTCTGTGGTGTCATACATGTAGACTGATGTGTTCTGGTGTTGTCACTGTGCAGGATCTGAGAGAGGAGTGCATCAAGCTGAAGATGTTGGTGTTTGATCTGGAGAGACAGAACCGAGCGCTTTGTGAGCTTTTCCAACAGAAACTGCCCAACCACCCCACAGCCCACTACCAGGTAAACCAGTCCATCTTCCTCTGTGACGTTCTCCTGCTGGTGTCTTTAAAGTCTTCATTTAAAACACGATGTAAACGTTCTTCACTGGAAGTAAAAGTCCTGCATTCAAATGTTACTCACAAGGAGAATTTGTGTTACGTTTTGAAAAGCCTCTTAAGGCTCCAGGTGCTTAAAAGTGCCTCAAGTGACATCACTCAAGTCAGGGACATTTGAGGATGAGTACAAGTTTCAAAATGAATAAACGGAGGTACTGAATTATAAAAGATGCAGATGGTTTCATCTCTGCTACATTAGTTTCTACAAGCATAACACACAAACACACATGTATGTACTGTGTAGAAGAGTTGCATTGTGGGTAATGTAGTCAGCAGGTTTTTAAGGGGTTAGGGTTAAACCGTTAAGGCTACATTAGCTGCTACCAGCATAACAAACAAACACATTTGTATGTACTGTGTAGAAGAGTTGCATTGTGGGTAATCAGCAGGTTTTAACTAAGGAAGACGATTGAGCAGCATGGTATAAAATAGAAATACTCCCTAAAAATAACGACATGTCCTCAGTGCACGGATCTGATTCACGTCAGCCTCATTCTTTCAAACTGTGGTGAGTCAGTAGAGAAGCTCAGTCTTTCCCTCTGCTCTTTTGTTGTGTCCAGCAGATGCCAGAACAATGTATCTCTAGTCATCTGTGTATATAATAGCCTGCAGTGTGTACAGCGTCCTCGTAATTGCCTCATGACTCTCCCGTTACAGGTCCAGGCGGGACCCCTCCCAGACTACAATGCACAGCTGCACAATGACTCTGCCAAACAGGTGGAGCCTGCACAGACTGAAGCACAAGCCAAGGTGATTATTACAGAGGACACACTGCAGAGCTTTATACTCCAACATCAAGAGGGGAACAGCGGGATTATATCAGAGCCTCTGAACAAGACTACATCCCCCCCCCCCCCCCCCCACCCGCCTGTTTGTGACAGGACTCATTAAAAACCTAAAGTGGTCCCTTCCTTCCTGCATCAGAGAGCGCGTTCTCATTTCATCATGTTTCTTTTTGGTTAATCCAGCAGAACTACAGCCCATAAAGTGGTTTATTAATAAAATATTTCCCTGAAACCTGAGATTAAACTCATAGGACACCTCCTGCATTATAACTTTAACTTCTATTTGTTTGTGAGCTTTGTTTCACAGCGTTTATTTTAAGCAGCAACTGAGACTTCCCTGTTAGTTATAACTATTTTCCTCCACATGCACTCCTGGAAATGTCTAGAAAATATCGATTGTTCGTTCACACCCCAAGATAATAATAATAATAATAATAATAATAATAATAATACTTTATATGTATAGCACTTTTCTATACAAGTAACAAAGTGCTTTACAACAGAAAATAAAAGCAGAGAGACAATTAAAGCAACAGGCAGAGAGTAAACAAGCAGACAACAAAATAAAACTAATAAAATAAAAATAAGAACAATTACCAAAATCACAGAGTAAAAGCATTTTTATAAAAGAATGTGTTGAGTAGGGATGTAAAACAAGGGACTGAATCTGCAAGTCTGATCTCCTCTGGCAAGATGTCAAGTGAGCACCAGAGTCCGATGTGACATTTGTATTTGGACAAGAAGAAAACATCAAGAATCAAGCAGTCTAATTAAATGTTCGATGATGGCATTACTCGTCATGGAAATTTAAAAATTTCTAGCATTTATTCACATTAAGGTTGACCAAATAAAGTCGATTAATTTTTTACCACCATAGAGAAGGTCTGTGATCTCACATCAGTGTAGAAAGGATGTAAATACTAATCCAAACCATAATCTTAAAACCTAAACCTAATCAATAATTAGCAGGGGTCGTCTCTGTCTCCTGCCAAACTGTGTAATAGTTGTCTCATGTTCAGGCACTAAAACTACTTTGACTGAACAAAAACATTTATGGTTTGTGCAGAAATATAAAGTCCTTGTTGTTGTGTTTTGGACTTTGTTGGGACAAAGGCTGAAAGAGGATTGTGTGTTTAAAGGGAGCTCTGACATTTGCTCTGTATTAAACTATTGTGCTATAAAAAGCGAATCTACTGTTCCCGCACTTCCTGTACGCACACACTCTAAAAGGTCTTTATGATCTGAATTGTTTGGCTCTTAGAAATGACTTGTTTACTGACTGGAGATCTATTTGTGTCCAAAAGGGAAACGGCTACCGCACACAGCACGCCTCTCCGGGCCCTCGCGGCCCCGCGGCCTCCATGGAGGCGCTGTCCCCCTTTTTCAAGAAGAAAGCACACATCCTGGAGGTCCTCCGTAAGATGGAGGAGACGGACCCTCTCAAGTTCCACCCGTCCACCACGAGCCTGTCGTTCTGCGACTACAGCCAGGTGCTCATGTCCACTGAGGCCGTTTTGGCCGCCGCAGAGCCCCTCCCCCTGCAGACGCACCACACGCACTGTCACTGCTCGCGCACGGACACCGAAGCACACCAACATGTCAACGGCGACGGCGGGGCGGTGAAGTGCGAGGGCGGGAACACCTGCTGTTTACACTGCAAGAGGAGCCCAGAGAGTCCCCCGAAGACATGCAACCAAGTCTGTAGTCCTCCTAAAGCAAACTCCGCCCCCCAGAGTCGCCTCGCCCCCGCAGCTGCTACAAGCGAATGTCACATTAAGAGCAGAACGGTGGAGGCCGCTCCCTCGTCTAAACAATGCACAAAGAATCAAGCCCACCAGCAACCAGCAGGCGGCGCCGCCGCCGCCCATCCCTCCGTCCCCTCGGATCAGATCCCAGAGCGGATGGAGGAGCAGGAGGAACCTGAGAGTTTTCTAAACGTCTCCGTAGAGCTCACTGGTTTCACTCCTGTGAAGGACAGCGAGCAGATCTCCCACTGTGACGCAGAAGCGAGCGACGGCGTTCAAAACGGCGTGGCCTCCTCGCTCGACGACCCCTCGGCCATCCCCGAGAAGGACGTCCCCGATCATCAGGAGGCTCCGTCCGTGAGAGCGGGCGCCTCCGTCAGCCCCAGCCCGTCCTGCCTCAGCGACGTCAAAGCCGCCGCCATCAACTCGCCGTCCAAGCTGCTCAAGTTCCTGAAGATCCCCTCGATCGGCGAGAAGTCTCAGGCCGCGACCTCCGCCGCCGCCGTCCACCTGAGCCCCCAGCTCACGCGCAGCTCCCGGATCCCGTGTCGCACCAACAACTACGAGGTGTACCACTCGCCCGTCCCCACGCGCAGAGCCACGACCACGGAGAGGTGCAGGCAGCCCCCTCCCCCGCCCTGCAGGTCTGAGTCTTACCCCGCCACGCACTCGGCCCCGACCTCCCCGCCGCAGCCCGAAGACGTCTGCGCCCAACCCGTCAAAGACACAAGCTACAGCAGCGTCTCGCCGCCTAAAGCTGGCTCAAAGATGGCCGCCCCCTCCTCCTCCTCCTCCTCCCCCAAAGTCTCTCAGAGGATTCCTCATTATGAAAACGTCTGTAACATATCCAGAGAGGAGGAGCCGGCGCCGAGCCTCGAGAAGAGGACCACGCTTCCCTCCCAAGCGAAGGCGAACGGCGGCGGCGAGAGGAAGCTTGTGAAATCGCTGCCGGAGAGCGTCCTCATCCCAAGTCCCCAGAGGAAGCAGTCGTCCTCGACCGCGTCCGATTCCACGTCGGACGAGGAGGAGGACTCGGACAGCCCGGTGTGGGTGAACCACCACAGCCTGCCCAGCTCGTCCGCCCTCGGGAAGGCTCAGAGCCGAGCCAGCTACTCCCAACCGCGAGAGAGACAGGAGGTCGACATCGCCGCGCAGAGCTCCGAGGTCGTCCAGCCGCAAGCTCCGCCTCCACCTCCAGTCAGGAGGAGCGACTCTTCTTCCATCCCCAAGAGGCCGACGTCCGGCGCAGGGAGGTCCCAGGCCGATTCCAGTCACCACGCGTTTAAAGACAGACTGGCGGCGCTGGGGAAACTGAGGAGCTCCGAGGATTTGCAGGTCGGTCTCAGGCCGGTGGAGAATGTGAACGAGGGCTCGTACGCGGAGGAGAGGAGTAAGATAGCGGAGAGGCCGATGGAGGAGCAGAGACATTCAAAGTACGCAGACTCTCTGGACAGCAAACCAAAAGTTGCCAGCGTTGGTTTGAAGTACCCTCAGATGTACGAGCAGGCGGTGAAGTCTCAGCCGAAACAAGAACTGTGCGTGACAAAGATAGAAGCGTCCAAGAGTAAAATCGGTCTGCCGTCGCCGAACGCAGACGCTCCGCAGGTTCTGCGCAACAACATCAAATGTCCGGTTCTCTCAATCTGGCCTACAACCTCAAAGCGGGTCCTCACAGTAGCAACAGCCCCAACAAAATCCCCCCGAAGTCGCCGTCCAAGCCGTGCCAGCCGACGTCCGTCCACAGGGCGGGGAAGCCGACGGAGGCTCCGCGGTACTCGTCCAAATCCGAAGAGCGGACGAAGATCAGCGGGAAAGGGAAGAAGAATCCGATGTACGGAGACAGCCTGCCGCCGCCTCCTCCCAGACCTCCGTCCGAGGCGGAGAAGCCGCCCCCGGCGCCGAGCCCGCAGTCGGCCATCGAGCAGAAAGTGATGAAGGGCATCGAGGAGAACATGCTGAAGCTGCAGGAGCAGGACCGAGGCGTGCAGAGCGGCGAGGTGAAGCAGAAAGCCTCCAACGGCATCGCGAGCTGGTTCGGGCTGAAGAAGAGCAAGCTGCCCGGCTGAGCCGCAAGGCGGACGCCGGCAAGTCGAAGGACGAGAAGAAGGAGTGGAAGATCAACATCCCGTCGGTGGGCAGGGACTCGGTGAAGATGGCCACCCGGTGCAAAGAGGGCGTGGAGGGTCTGAACATCTCCACGCTGATGGAGAAGGCGGAGGGGCTGAGGAGGGCCCTGGAGGAGGAGCGGGCATACGTGGAGAGGTCGGCGCAGAGGTCACTCCTGCGAGGTGGTGATGGACCCGTCTCAGGGGCAGCTGGCCGTCATGTACAGAGGAGCGCGCTCCGATAACTTCATGCAGCAGCTGCTGAACAGGTGAGCACTCAGCGAGGATAAGTGCAGCTAGAATATCAAAGAGTTTCACATTTTAAATATAGAATAGAATAAACTTTGCCTACTTTCTTTTTGCATGCATAAGAGAAAACTGTCTTTGACTCGCCTGTGCAAAAACAAGGGGACATATTTAAACCATTAAGGACACTGAAAATGAAAAGAGTGGGACACTTCTGCACTCAACTATTAATGTAAGGCAAGGCAAGTTTATTTATATAGCACATTTCAAAGTGCTTCACACAAGACATCAAGAAGCATCATGACAGAGGAAAGAAAAGAAACATTAAAATAGAAAATGTAAAAATCACTGAAATTATTAAATCTGAAAACATTTTAAAAAAAATAATTCAAATGAATTTAATTGAAGTAAAAATATAAAAACAGTTAAAAGTTACAGTGCAGAGTTAGAGTTTAAAATTGTTGAATTAAAGGCAGCCGGTGTTTGAGTTTTATTTGACTCTCTTGTAGGTCGTCAGCGTATCGGATAAAACTCCACCATACAGATAATTAAGCCATATGTTTTACATGATTAATTAAATATGTTCATTATATATACACTAGTCTCATGCCAAAACCCTTAAAAACACCATAAAGTAGTGTGAAAACTTCACTTTGCAATCCAACATCAGCATGTCCAACTTTAACCTCTCCTCATAATTTGTACTTCACGCTCACATTTTTTTAAACTGCTATCTTAATAAAGTTCCTGCTGCTTTGTTCAGTGTGATCTCCAGTCCCCTCGTATCTCTCTGAGCCGAACGTCTCCAAACGGCAGAGCACATAATGAATGTGAGTGTAGATTAGCCTGTGACTCACAACCTGAAGAATGTCTTTAGATAAAAAAAAAAAACTCTGCAAGTCATCCGTTTACTCTGCCATTGTTCTCACTTTTAAGCCTTTTATCCGAGGATGTCTTCTTCTAGTGACAAGACGTGCAGCTTCATACATTGAGGCGACGATGACACAGATGTAGAATTTAAAAGAGCGAGAGTAAAAGATTTTTTAATTCAGTTACTTTTATGAAAATAGCAAAAGTCTAAGAGTTAATTTGTTTTGTAAAGTTTAGATCCAGTCTGCAGCCGTTAGAGGGGACAGAAGGAAAGATCAAAAGAAACACTTTTAGCTCAAACATGTCCGAGTTGTCTTTGGGTGCCGAGCCAGAGAGAAACTTTGACACAAGCAGAGACATTTTTTAATTGAAAAAAGGGATTTTAGAAGATGAGTCATGTGGTCATATCTCCATGTTTTCGTCGGGTCTCTCGCAGCTGCTTTTTGATTACCTTGAATTTACCCGAGCAGCTTGTTTTGAGAGCCCTGAGAACAGACCGCTGCAGTAATCTAATCTGCTGGAAAGACGTGCCTGCAGACGCCTGCCAAGGTCTTACTTTGACATGACTTCACTGAGTCAAGCGAAGGATAAAGCAGAAGAAGTTGTTGATTTCATGTGCAGTCCAGGATAACACCCACATTTCCTCTGAGCTATTAGACAGAGAGAGAGAGACTTAAAGCAGACCTTTTAAACTCATTTTCACCATGACTCATGTCAGTCTGTTGAGCAGCGTTGTGAGATGTGAATCTCAAAAACCTCCTTATTTATCTGATACTCACGACAGTAAAATCCTTCATTTCAGCCTCTGCCTGAAACGCTTCATTTCAGCTCCTGTCTCTTTAAGCCCCCTCTGAGCTGCACGGTCGATGTGGAAGTAGATCTGGTTCAACGTGACAGCTGAAACTTTCTTTCTTTCTTTCTTTCTGTGCTTTAATGAAAACATGTGTTTTGAAATGGCAGAGTGGACGGGAAGGAGATGATCAGCGTCCCGCAGCGCCGGCTGTCGTTCGACTGCAAGACCTCCAAACCGATGTTCAGTCAGCAGAGCGACGTCATCAGCCGGGACGACATGGAGAAGGTACGCTTTGTTATTTCTTTTCACTGAGACGCACACTGACACTGATTGAAACAAGCTTCAGGGCTCCCCCAGTTTCAGCGCTGCATCTGTAGAGTTCATTCTTTATAGTCTCGGCTTTAATAACCTGAACTCGGCTCATCATTTGTGAGAGTAGTTTCTGAAGAATCTCAGTTCACTCACTGCTCCGTCTCTCGGCTGCTTTGTTGTTGTCTCACGCAGGGATCAGACAGAATCGGCAAGATCACGTCAGATGAAAACCTCGCCGAGTCGGTTCACTCTCAACACTTTGCAGGTAAGAAGAGTCGGCCAGGTTTGGAAATCTCACGCTGAGTCTTTAAGGTTTGTGAGAGTGACAACCTTGAAGAGTAGAAGTCTGGGAATAGATAAATGAATGAATGTATGAAGGATTCTTCAATGTGAGTGAGACGTCAGTCAGAGACACGAAGTGATGTAGCATTGAAGAATAAGTCGATAAGAGTGATGGAGCGCGAATAAAAGTAAATCAGGAGTCAACTCTGCGTTGAAGTCGATGCCATCACAAATCTGCCCTGACAAAAAGTTAATTTCTTCAAATACTCCTGTAGTCCTTTCACACTTTCAGAAAACTCCTGAAAAACTCCAGATTGTATTTGTTGTTACGCATCCTCTAAGGGGGGGCAGGTTTGTAACATAAAAACCCGAAAAAAAGTTACTTCCCGGTCCCCTAACCAAAAAGGCAAAACTAATCTTCTGATTTAAACAAGGATTTATTTTATAACACAAATTCAAACAAAAGACAATCTCTAAACCTAACTTTTTAACAAAACCAAAAACAGGAGAAAAAGTAGTAAACTGCTTCTCAAACAAAAAGACTTACTCGACGAAAAAAACACAATTTTCAGAACTAACAAACTAGGCTAAGGAACAAGGCTTTAACAACAATATAGACAAGTGTGGAGGCAGAGGGATAACCATCTGCTGCTGTCAGTTTTACAACACGCCGCTCTTGCTGAGGATCCCAAACAGACAAATATTTCACTCTGACTTCACTCGGAGTTTCTCCTGCCAGACCCCTAGTATGTTTTCCGCAGCAAGTCTGAGTGAGCTGATGTGAGAACGCAGCGGGATATTATCAGGAGAATTCAGCTCGAGCCAATAGGAGGGGGGGGGGTGACGTTTATATATTGACTCGACTATTGCAATAGCATCCTTTTCGGCACGTCATCCAAAGTCCTTAAAGTCCCTGCAAACCAAAAAATATATGTTTTTTAGTTTTTGATACAAAATAAGAATGTATTATTAACCTACCTTTATTGTTGTTATCTTTATGATTTGTGTGTAATGTTGCGATGTCTGTAGGTCTGTACGATTGTTAAAAAACAGAAAGAACAGCACAGTAAGGACAGTGTCTTTGAGTTTTTGAAAAGCGCTTATAAATAAATTGTATTATTATTATTATTATTATTGTATCCTGTGACTGGAGTCAGTGCATTGACTCTCTGCACACTACACGTAGCATTGATTATGTGTATATATTAATATTGTAATTCTACCTCTTATAG